AACCACCCCAGCAGCTACAGTGGAGGTGTCAGTGGGCCGGCACGACATTTGATCCCTAGATGTTTTTCTTTTGGAAGCTGCGTACTGCGCAGTTAGTTTTGCCAAACAGCTGTGTGAATGTGAAGCCGGGCAAAGAGAAAAGGAGGATTTCTCAGTAGTCATTCATAGACAATCAGAAAGAAATGCTTATTAAGGAGCTAAACTACCACATTTCTCATAAGATAATGCTATAAAAACAAAAAAGGCCCCTGTAGAGAACAACACACTGCACATATAGGATGTGGAAATGAATTAATAACATAGATACAAGTAGGAATTTGTTTAAAATAAGCCAGAAACAAAGCAGCATTCAAGGCTGTTAGATTGACACTGGTCAGAGAACGGAGCAGCCGAGGTTTCAGTGTGACCAGATGATGCGTCTGACGGGCGAACAATGTAAACGTGTGTGTGGAGGGGGAGGCTGGTGAACAGGGGTCCCTCGTTGCTGCAGCCACTGGCCTTTGTGTGACTGTGTGTGGGGCTCCTGTGTAGCTCATCTCTGAGGCTTGCAGGGAATTTGGAGTGGGAAGCTGCAGCCATGTGACTTGGACAACAAGCGTGTTTCTTCACATTCAGAAGCTCCCAGTGAAAACAGTCGGCCGAGCCTCCGGGTGAGTCTGCTCTGTAACTCTGGTGGTTTTTATCCGAGCGTGGAGAACAGCCTGATAGCCAGTGGTGGGGTATTTACTCAGGCCCTGTACTGTACATGTTTCTGATTATACTTTTACTTAAAGCTCCTCTATCTGATGTCTTTTCAGCCTGGAGGGTGTTCAGACTTTTAGCCGCCCACAGTACGGGGGGGGGGATCTGAGTTAATGCTCCTTGAAGTACCTTTTTCAATGCAGGACTTTGACTTGTAGTGAAGTATTTTAACAACGTGGTATTACTACTTTCACTTTAACACCTGACCCGACCCACGGCCTGCCACTGTGAGCTGCCGCCTGGCCCAAGGTTTGCTAACCAGAAATCTTCTTCAGACAGTTCACACAATGCACGGTGCCTAAAATGTAGCATGTTTTGAAATGGGCCCGATGGAGCAGACGTGAATCAGCTGCTGGAAATGTGCACTAACGCACAAACCATTACATCTCAGGTCATTGAACTCGTTCTGTCCATCCTGGCTTGAAAATGCAGGGTTGTGTTTTACAGACTCTGGACCAGAGACGGTCAGAGAGGGTTTCCAAGCCAGTCTTCGGTTCTCACAGGAAAGTGTTTAGACGGCCGGACACTGGGGGAGTTTTACCCAGGAAGTGATGAGCTTAATATAGCCACATGTTATTCAGCCTTTTCCATATTTTCTTTATGCACTGTATTGATTCCCTCTTGTCCAGCTTAAAACATATGATTGGAGAGCGCGCTGAGTAAATGTAATGTCAATAGAACCGTGTGTAACATAATCCCAGTGTGGCCGCCCCAGTGTAAAGTAAAACCATCTCCAGCAGCTACAGTCGAGGTGCCAGTGAGCCAGCACAACATTTAATCCCCAGTTGTTTTTCTTCCTTTAAGTCTTGAATAGAGTTTTGAACAAACGGCTCAATGTCCAAATGTGTGTGACTGTGTGAGTGCAAAGCTGGGCACAGAAAAACAGAGGAATCATCCATAGATATCAAAGAAACCACTGAGCTGTCAAACTAACTAAACTCTTTGTTAGAAGACCTTTAAGTTTTACAGCATTTTTGCCTTTAAACAAACATTTTCTAGCTTGTGTATCGCTCTAACAGATGTGTGTCCAAGTGTAGCAACAGCTCAGTTAGTTTGAATAACAGCTTTGGTCTAATTAGGTTTAATGAAAACCTGCAATAGGATTAGTGGAGTGGAGATGTTTCACTTGAGAGTGCAGCAATAATTAGAAAGACAAGATAATATAAAGCTGTTGTAACCTCCATCGTTGTGCCCACACACACACACACACACATCAGTGAGCCACACTGCTGCTAAATCATCGACTGCATCATTTAAATCCTTTGGTTTCTGTGGAGAGACGAAGGATGCTGCTCACCGTTGACTGATGAGCCTGGCGCCTTAGCCTTGAATGAATGAGCAGTAGAGCCAGAGAGAAGTATGACCTCACAGCTGTCTGCAGATGTGCAGGAGAAAGAGAACCGTTCCTCTGGCCACGCAGTCGGGATTGATCACTTTCTCTAATGCACGTCAGAGGAGCGGTGAAGTGAAGTGTTTTAGTCTTGTCCACGAAGAGTCTGATTTCCTGGTTCACTGTGTGGACAGTGTTGATGCTGGCTGGCTGTCAAACAGTGGTGTGTTTGGATCAGACAGTTTGGGGTGTGATGAGTGGAACAGTGGGATTATAGAGCTGAAGTTGTGATGTAACTCAAAATGAAGCATGTTCCCAGGGGCTATTGACCACAGTCTGTGGCTAATAGGAAGTGAAACTGTGCTGATTTTACTGAAAGTTAAACAGTAGTGTTTTGTGACTTCTGGAACAGAACCCGGGTTATATACATGTTTGTCTCAACGACAACGTGTTTACTGTATTGTCCTGTTGCAGTTAGTCCCGTTAGCTAACTGAACTAAAAGTTATTCAAAGCAAACTAACAGCCAGTATGTGACATACTGGGCTCTGACGGTCCAAATATCAGGGCTGTCAGTTTCTTCAGAGAACTGAAAGCTAAACGGTTCAATACTTTTGGGAACGTTTGCTTCCTTGCTGAGACTTAAATTAGAAGATTGATCAGTAAAGACATAGCTGCAGCTACAAGCCAGTTATCTTAGCACAAACCCTGAAAACAAGGAAACAGTCTGTCTTCCAGTACTGCTAACCTAAGCTAAGCTAACTGGCTGCTAGCTCTAGCTACATATTTAGCCTAGCTGGGAGTAGCTGCCAGGCGACTAGCATGTTACTGGTCTAAAAATGAGTGTAAAAACAATTCAGTAAAGGACACGTGTTGGTGAATGAGCTAGCTTAGCTGTCTTCACCACTGCCTGTGTTTATGCTAAGCTATGCTAACCAGCTGCTAGCTTTAGCTGCACATTTACTGCACAGGTGTGAGAGAGGTATCAATTTCTCATCTAATTCTCGGCATGAAAGCAAAAAACGGTCTTCTCTAAAATGTTGGACTGTTCCTTAAGGTTAAATGTGAGTGCAGGCAGCGTGGGACCCCAACAGACCATTCAGTGTCCATCTTCATTTCCCCAGTCCCACCTGGTGCCTGTCCTGAACACTGTGATTGGCTGTAACATTCTGTAGCCTCGGGCATGTAAAAACCTCCAGTTACTGACGGGCGGTGGTCGTCTCCCTCTTGGCCTCCCCGGGTTGTTTCGGGTGGCGGCCTGTTGCACTAGC